TTGTACTCAAGGAAATAGTTTCAGGCACTTCAGGTCATATCTTCCATAATATGGAAAAATATTATTTTTTTAGCTTCAGTTACTCATGGTGTACCACTAGCTTAAGCTAGTAGCTGTTCCCCTCTGAGAGCAGCTCTTACATAGTCTGGTATGGCAACGACAGAGTAAAAAATAGCGATTTTCATTGCAGAGTTCAAGCACACGCATGGCTTGGAGTCCTCTTCCCGGAGCTCTTCATGCTGGAGGGCTGTACAGACACTGAAGTTTTACTGCCCCACACCGGCCTCCTGTCAGATGCGGATTTAAAGAGGTGACCTTGGCACTTCAGCTCGCGCCCCTTGGTGAAGCTCTGCCCTCCAGCTCCAGCGAGACCAGCTTTGCACCGAGCAGGGCCGGCTGCCATCCCACGAGGTCTCTCTAATCCTCACCAAGGATGTTCTTCATGCGAGCTGCTTATGAAGAGGGACAGGAACGGACTGCAGGTTGTACATGAGGAGATAGGCAAGGAGGAGAATGTAACTAGGGCTGCATTTCAGAAATGTTTCTAGAAGCTGATCAACATGCCCAACATGTGGCAAGACAGGATTCATCAGAGCAAATCTTCAGAGCACCAGAACAGTAAAAACACGTTCTGATGGGCCACAGTGAGTTCCTGGGACCAACAAAAGTGGCACCATGCCTGAGACAGGGCTGGCAGCGTCACCAGCCGCGCGTGGGACAGTGACGAGCAGGGATTCTGGCCTGCAAGGCCCCATTTCCCACAGGTCCCGTTTTTGCAGACCTGCGCGCGTCGCGCAGCGCAGTATGGCAGAAGTGAACATCTGAGACCTACATCAGCTTTTTTCTTTTTGAGCTCTTCATGTGAAAACAGGATTATCCTGCATGGGGGTGAATCTGCTTTTATTTATTCTCCATCAAAAGCCAAAGCTTTCCGAGTGCCATAGCACAGTTTGTTGCCATGGAAATGGCCATTCTGCCACAAACAGAGGAGCCAGTCTTCCCAGAAAGGGGCTGCAGGAGCGAACGAGTCCTTGAATGAGTTAAAGTACTTGTTTTCATCTATTTCTTATTAATAATAAAACATAAAGGACCTAAAATACCAAATGCACAACTTAAGTTCAAAACTATTTCTAATCCGAGCATGCCCCATGCACCTACTACTAGTTTTTGCTAAATTTCCAGTGAAAAGTGATGTTTATTAAAAACACTTCATCTCATTAAAGTTCCAAATTCATAATCAAAACTCACAATCAAAACGAAATGCCACAAGCATGCACCACACTCCCCGGAAACAAAAAGAAAAGCTGTATATTCACTTCTATAAATATTTTATACAAGCACACTGCAAGGCAGACTCATTTAATGATACCTAACGCCAGCTGCTCCACAACAAGGGAGGGCTAAAAAACAAAACCAAAACCCCAAACCACGCAGGCTTTTCCCTCCGCTGGCTCCTCCCGTGCAGGCTGGGCGCCAACCAAGGCTACTTTTGGCCGTGACCTACTTTGGCGCAGCAGCATCCAGCGCCGCCGTGCTCGTCGCGGGCTGCCGTGGCTCATCCCTCCCGCCATCCCAAAGGGCAGCTCCTTCCCCGGTGCGCACAGCCGAGGTCAGGAAGGCAGGGAGGTTAGTGGGGCACTGGGGCAGCCCGCGGAGGCAGCGTGCTGCTCCGTTCCAATTAAAACGCTCTTTGCCGTCGCCGCTTTGCGCCTCGCGACGGGGCGGCCCGCGGGCCCGGCGCAGCTGCTGGCTCCGTGCGGCGCCGTCACCTTTGCTGGCCCTGCCGGACACACACGCACCGGGCACACCGGCACCGGGGGCTCACGCCAGTCTCCAACCACACAGGCACAGCGTTGTTGAGGGGCAGCATGAGTTGCATTTCCTAAGTTTTAGGAAATTTAAGTTCCCATTTTATCAGTGTTAATTAAGTTAACATTGAAATGTTAAACACTTGGGAACCCGATCCGTTCCTAAAAAAAAAACAGGAATGCACACCAATGCAGGGACACTATCATGGGCAAAAATTCACGTGCCAAGTCTGAACTGTCAGACAACATCAGGTCAAAATCATCCAGTGCCGACATGGCCATTTGGCAGGTTCTCACGCTACCAAAACAAGTAACAAAGAACACCACAAACAGAAGACAAAACCAAACTACATGTTGAAAATCGAATGTTGCCTAGCAAGTACCAAATTCATCTTAAAAGCACATGAAGTTTGTACTAAATTTTTGGTTCTTTTAAAGACACCTATTATTACATGCCTACAACTTTACATTTCAAAGAGTCATAGTATAATTTTTCCTGATGCACAATCTTCAACAAAAATGAGGATAACTGAATGCTGGAACTGTATTTGAATAACTACATATATACTGTTACTTATTTCAGACCTTTAAAGTGGCTTTATTGATAATGAAGAGCATTGGAATCCCTCAGCAATTCTGCACATTATGGGAATACCACAGGAAACAGCAGCACTGGTTTAACCAGCTAAGCCATATTCACATAGCTCAATACTTCATGGAAAGTCTGGGGTCAATAAAAAACAGGACAGAACAGCCTCCTGACTCAAGCAAACATCTCTATGTTCAGTTCAATAGCAAAAATGCTAGATATTTGTCATGTGGACAACTGCCTATCAAGTGCTAAAGACAGAACCTCACTTCACTGCCACAGCTAAGCACAGCTTCATCCAATACTTTCACCTAGTATGGAAACGTTCACAAATCCTCCTCCTTCACTATCCTCTTCCAGACCACCACTTTCCCACGCCTAAATTTTAATTAAACTAACCCCATACAGTTACCAAAACCTTGTCTAGAGAATCATAAAGACATATTTGATAACATACACATAGCACACAGATACTAGCAACAATGTTGATATATCAAACCGTACATTAATAGAAAATAATGCAAGAAAAAGATGAGCTGTTTCATGTATAAAATTAAGCCTGCAACTAAATGCAGTCAGAAGTCGATCAATCAAGAAAGTATCCACCACCAAACCCAACAGGGTTTACGGAAATAAAGTTACATAGCAGCTAGTCTCCAGTTTTAAA